CAAAATTTAAGACGAAATTTCGGGCTGAATTTCTAATGAATAATTCCGCCAGAATTTCAAACTAAAAATTTTGTCGAAAATTCTGACAAAAAATTCATTGAAAATTATGATAGAAAATTAGTAGGAAAATTACAAGAAATTACATTTCTGACTGATATTACATTAAAAATCTTCTAGAAACCTGTAGCAAAAAATAACAGATCTTCAACTTAATTTTTGCGGGTATAAATAATAAATTATGGAATATCATAACAACACATTATATCATATATACAAATATAACTCAAAACTAAAAAGTATACAAAAATCAATTTCCTGCACCTTTCTAATATTATTTAGTATCCCCTATAATAACGAGATCTATAATAACTATGAGCTTCATGGCAACTTTCCCATAAGAAACATTAATGGCCTTTATAACATCATCCTAGCTTTCCAATAGTAAAAAAAGCAAACATAAGACATAAATCCCATTACCATACTCTTTAATTTTTTTTAATGGACGATAATAGTTACAATAGCTCGCGACAATAGGAGGCAGTGGCGAGAATGGTAAGAAGCATTGGCGACAAATCATATAACTAACTTGATTTGATCAAATTTTAAATGTCAAAATGAACATGTTAGGCATTCCATATCACCTCAAAAATATATTTTTTATTTAAAATAATGAGTGATAAAATAAGACTCAAACTTATAACCTTAAAAATAACCTTCTCCATGTTAATTAAGATGCTAAATTATGACACAAACACCTTTAAAGGCTATTTCTTGGTAATCTGAGAAGGATTTGCTTATTCGATTTGCTTGTTCCAAATAAGTATTTCTCTCTCCCACTTCTAGGCACTATAAAATGTGCAACTGTGGGCTCCGAAAATTCGGCCCTGGCCTCCCCGCCACATTGTTGATTGCTTTTTTTATTCGGCGAGGGAGTCTTAACGAAATAAGTTCCGGGGTAAATTTTGGAAGGCAGATGGATTGTAGATAAGACACTACCCAGAGATTTCGCCCTCATTTTGCGAGGACTTTATGATCTGAGTTCTAGTTTCCTATAGGCGCAAGCCCCTATAGTTAATTCTTTCTTCTGATTACGAGAGAGAACTTTTGATTAAGGCTAGTCATCAATCAGATACGTAGAGAACACGTGGTATCTGGCATATAGTAGCAGCATGGATTTGGATTTGAAAATTGGGTATTTGGAAATGTTTGATATTTAAAATAGGAAATTGCACCATCTTGCACTTAAAGCGGATGGTGGGGGAATGGATGATAGACCCGATCAAGATCCCATGGTTCCGTCGTCCCGGGCCATCGTGGTCCCTGGTCTACTTAGTCAGAGGAGGTAGTCAACCCAACCTGATAGAAGGATCCTTGTCGGCAGGCATGGGTTGCTTCGTCCAAGGGGACCTTGTAGACCTGGGATGAATGTTTGTCTAAGGGGATAAATTTGAATCCACCTTAGTTAACAGAGGGCTTTGTGACATATCGATTATATCATTTTGATTCATATCTCAAGAATTTGATGCTAATAAGGAACGTATCAGCACTAGCCATAACAAGTATTTCGTGATGCCATTTGGCGGCAAAATCACTCAGTTCAGAGGGCCCGGGTCATAACCGTTTACCTACAGTGCCATTGGGCAGCGAATCGCCTGTCAGAGGACACGTACCACGTCCTTACTGGCAGGAGACTGTTTTGAGAATGGATCCTAGTGATGTTTCGACTAAGTATTTGGCTCTTTGTGAGCTAGAGTAGTTTTTATTTTTGTCCACCTCGGCAAACTATTACGGATGACAGATGAATTTTGCTTTAAGTGGGCTGATGTATTTATTTCATTTTAAATATTTTTGGGATTTTGGGATTTTGAGATTTTGAGATTTTTTTGGATTTTTTGATTTTGATGGGCATTTAGGTGGCATTATTGAAATGTTTGGAATGAACCCCTTCGGTTGAGATTTGTTGTTCAACACGACCATCATCGGGGTGTTTGGGGGGACTTTCATTTGTAGCTTGAACCTTGTCGACTCTGTCTGGCTGTCAACAGAGGATCGGGTTTCTCATATGCTTTATGCATCTGTTAGTGAATTCTCTTGATTTTAAGCTTTGAAGGCCTAATATAAATGTATTAAAATAAATATACCGGTCTCCACAATCGTATATTTGTTTGTCAGTTTGAATCCTGTCAACTTCTGTTGACTCGTATAGAAGGATCAGATTCGAACTTGAATTCACTTGTTGACCCGCGCAGCACTCCTAGACGTCACGTGTGTATCAATAACACGCTCGCCGAGGCCCATGCAGGTATTTGGGGGCATTTTATAATTATTTATCAGACCTCGTCGACTCCTATTTATTTACTTATGAGGATCTAATCCATATTTAATAACCCGCGCAACATCCCTAGACGTCACGTGTGTGCCAATAAAACGCTCGCCGGGGCCCATGCGGGTGTTGATTGTATACCCTCTTTTAGTGTACCTAAGTTTGTACAAAATACAGTGCATGTGCAAGGGTATTTTGGAATATTCATGAAACGCTTTCTATCCACATCCAAGAACGTCATGACTCCGGTGGCGTGGCATAACAGCTTTTGAATTGACTTGTTCGTTGCTTCGTATAGGTAGATTGTTGTGCACCACTTATATGATTTATGCATGTGGATCGTAGTGCACTAACTAATCTCCTGCTTTGGGTTGTAGAAGCTCGTAGAAAATTATATTCTTTATGCATTCCGCAATGATTTTGGTCTTTACAATGCATCCACTACTGCTGGAGGTAGATGTATTCATCCTTAGACTAAAGTTGATTACAAGATACTGCATTTACTGTAGTCTTTATGCATCCACCATAAGTAGCATGTGGCATGTACATCTATTTTTGTAGAGAGCTGATATGTGTTGCAGATCTTACATTCTTGATTGCATGAAAGTCAATTTGTGTGTTTGAATTTCGATGTTGACTATGATGATGCTAGAATACCCTTGATACAAGAATTTGTGGGTGCTTGTATCTGTTATATGTCAGTCGTTGCATCAACTAATGGTTCTCTTCATTAGGGCTTCTAATCTTCAACATACAAATTCATTGGTAGATTGATATGAACACCGCAGATTTCATGTTGGATATACATAAATCAAGGGTCTTGTAGTATATCTATTATTCTAATTTGAAAGTAGACTGTTGTGTGCTCATTTATATATTAGTCTAAATTGATAACAAAAAATTCGCTTCTTCTACATCTCCCTTGCTTTGCTTGTGAACAACTCCTTCACTATTGTATTCCTTCGTGCTCATTTACTTTGCAATTCTATTACTTGTGTATGAATCATCTTAGCATTATAAATATTTCAGCCTCCTTGGGAATAGGTTGTAGTTTGCATGATGAACTTGCACCTTTGATGGTCTCTTGCAATTGATTGTATATCTCTTCCAGTTTTTGTCACTTGGAAAACTTATCTTGATTGTCTTGTGAGTGAATTATGTTTGCAAGAGTTTGGCATATCCTCACATTCTCTACAATCATTGTTGATTGATTGTAGATGGTCATGTGAAATGTTACAAGTCTTCTACCATCTTTTGAGGATGACTTATGACTTGTATAGATCTTCCTTTAACTTTGTCAATTGATACATGCAAAAAAATTGTATTGATGTTTCATTTGGACAATTCAAAGTTTTAAATAGCATTTGTACTCTTTTTGTTTGGTTTAAACATTTATCAGTCAAAGTCAGAGTTTTTGTAGCCAAACTGCAAGTTCTATTTCATATCCAAGATGAGTTCAAGTTCTAGTTCTTTGTTCAAGTGCATGTCCACAAGTCCTCTACTGTTTTCTGATTTGAGTTCAAGTTCCAAGTTCAAGTGATCTTTGTAGTTGTCCCGAACTACAATCTCAAGTACAAGTTCTTTGCATTCGTTCTTTCTGAGTTGAATCAAGTCCTCTTGTATTATTCAAATTCACTTGAGTTTTAAGTTCATTTAGGACCACTTGGTTCAAGTTCACAAATCCATTATCCTCTCAAGTTTAAAGGTTCACAAGTTTGAGTCCAAGTTCGATCATCCTTCGAGTTCAATCAAGTCCAAGTGTAGCATTGCGTTCATCTGAAATTTCGGCAGCCTTCCCACGTCTCCCCGGTTTAGGGGAAAACTACAGAAAACTGGGCCTTTACCACCATGCTAAGAAAAGCGTGTATGGTAAGTGCCCTCTTTCGAGGACACCGTGACCGTGTAATTTTTGATCCCCCACCACGCTAAGAAAAGCGTGTATGGGTATTTAGTACAATTTGCAAGAAAAGCAATAATTTCCCCGCAAGCAAGTATTTATGGGTATCCCCGCTTCATCGTATGCATCACACCGGGTTCCCATCCCACCACGCTAATAAAAGAGTGTATAGGCGGTTTTCCAGTGCGTTACGAACTCTGAAGAAGGGACTTTAAGTGATTATCCGCTTCTTCGCAAGCGTCGCGATGCATTCCCTCCCACCACGCTATGAAAAGCATGTAAAGGTGGTCATTTTGTCTCGACGACTGCGTTGAAATCAGGTTCTCAGAGTTTTAGGATTTAAAATGTTATACCTGCGCGGGGTTGTCGATGCTGGCACATGGATCGAGGCAAGGAAGTATTTTTATATTTTTTTTAAAAATTAATTAAAAAGAAATTAATTATAATTAACTTTAATTATAACTAATTATAATCATTATTATTTAATTATGATTAATAATATTTAATATATAATTAATTTTGATTAATTATATTTAATTACTAATAATTGTTAATTAATTAATAAAATAATCATTCATAATTAAACTAAATTAATTATGAATGATTATAATTATTATGAATTAATTATAATTAATGTAATTAATATATTATATTTGAATATAATTAATAATAATTAATTAATGTTATGATAATTAATTATAATTAAGTTAACTATAACTAATGTAACTTTTGATTAATTTTTTTATTTATTAAACTTCCCTTCCTCCCATCGTTCACGGTTTAGGGGATTTACGGGATGTGGCCGAAGAAGACCGTGCAAGGGAGAAAGTTACCTACACAGCAAGTGAGCTCCCTCGTCGTTTCCGATCAAAATGTTGACACTTCCGGTCCGACAGGCAAGGAAAGTCGTCGGAGGCACGAAGTCGGTCGGCACAAAGGAGTCGGAGAAGGTAGAGTACTCTCTCTCTCTCTCTCTCTCTCTCTCTCTCTCTCTCTCGGTCAGAGAAGGTCGGACGTCGGGTTTTGATCGGAGAAGGAGGAGGTGTCGGTCTACTGGAGTGGAGTCGGATTTGGAAGATTAGATCGACGGGAGCTGGCCGGCTTAACGATCTGGGGTTTCGGATGGGAGAGGCGGAGAAGGAAGGAGAAGTAGCGATCGTGTGGGGCTTCCGAATGGAGCAGGCAGAGAGCGAGTGTGGAGTCGAGCGTGGAGAGGTATCGGGAGAGGCTTGCGATGCTTTAGCTCTATTCGCTCGGTATTTAAAGACCTGAATGGGAGTGGGATCGAGGGATCGACGTAGGATTTTTGCAAAAATCCCGGAACGGCGCCGGTTGTACAGTGGTATCGCCGGATTTTGGCAGAATTTGCGGGATCTAGCAGAGGTAATTTGCAGGTATTCTGATCTCTCTTTTTTTTTTTTTTGTTCCATTGGTTAATACTTAGGGGCTGTTTGGTAGCACCGGATTTGAGGCGAATTTGAGCGAAATCCAGCCAAACGGCCTAAAATGCAAAACCAAATCTCACGGCAAGTGAAATCCGGGATAGACGGAAAATTCCAGAGCGAAATCCGGGATTTCGGAAATCCTATATTTTGCAGGATTTACCAAATCCGCCTAGAGTAAGAATCCCTTGAATAAAGTCTGTTTTATAGCCAAACAGTCACACAGGATTTAACTGAATTTATCATAAATGTTACCAAACAGTTTTCAGGATTTAACCCCTCAGGATTTCGTAAATCCAGGATTTGGAGGATTTACGAAATCCCACTTAAATGAAATCCTACATTCTACCAAACAGCCCCTTAGAGATCAACAACAACCAAATATTATATCAGATGTTTGAGATTCAGTAAATCCACATCTAAGTACTTCAAATAACATAACCTCACTTTAGTTGCTTGTCCACAAATGAAGAGGCTTAAAATTAAAGTTTTAACACCCCTGCAATATCAACCTAAAATACCATTAATACTTCAACCTAGACATCCAAAAAAATAAGAAAATTCAAAATTATTACATGGCTACTAAGCTTAACATTAAGCATAATTCATTAGCATTCAAATTTCTTTCTTTTTGGGATACTTAACTACCAATGGAATAAATCCGATAGAATTACTGGCGAAAAATATACTGAAAATTTTAGGCAAAAATTTCACCTATAATTTTTCAACTAAACCCTTTTTTTCTGCAGTGGAAACTTTATATGGACTTATATTATCTATCATAATGCTCTAGCAATGATGATCATCATTGACCCATTGACAATAGTCTTTAATTTCCCATAAGAAAGTCAATGAATTATGGTAAAGCCAAGGCATTCATCTAAAATTTGATATTATTATCATCCTATAACCAATTACTTGATTGTTATGAGTAACAAGCACATTTTGAATATTCTAAGAAAGAAAGTTGAATGTATAGAAGGTAAATGGATTGAGATGTTATTCTCCATACCCTAAGCTGTATGGACAATGCCCTCCTTAGTTATTGAGAACACTCATTTTTCCTCATATGAATTTGAGGCTCTCTTCATTATCAGATTTAACTTACATGATGAAAGATTTGTCATTACATAAAACTATTAAAAAGGAGAACTCGAAGACTAGAGGCACTCCAATAATGGAATAAGAAATTGTTTCGATCTCACAAGAGTTCCATCATGAAGAAGTCAACAAGTGAGTCATAATATATTATTGTTGCATCCTAGAGTATTCACGGCGGTAGAGAAATATATAGTTTAACGTCTAAGCATTGTACAAAGATCCAGCACACAAGTATATTAGATAGAGGGTGTAGCATTCATAAGAGATACCAGAGTTTTTACGTGGAAACCCTTAAAAAGGTGGAAAAACCACAAGGCCTAGCCCAGTTTGAATGAATCCACTAGTATTTGTAGTCGATTACAAATGAGGCCCTTCTGAGGGAGAAGGCCTTGGCTTGATGTTACAAATGTACGTCATCTAGAGCACATTATATGGTGGGAGTTACAATAATCAACATAGACATGCTTGTTTGGTTGGAAGTGCCATAGTCAGCATGAGACAGGGGTCCGAAAGATCGTAGTTGGCAGTAGACCGTGGTCAAAAAGACCATTGCATGGTGATGGAGGTCGGAAAGACCATAATTGGCAGGAGACAGGGGTATGAAAGACCGTAGTAGGCAGGAGACTGGGGTCAAAAAGATCGTTGTCTGGTGAAGGAGGTCGAAAGGACCATAGTCAGCAGGAGAAATGGGTCCAAAAGACTGTAGTAGAAGGGCAGTATTCAGGGAGAACTCTTGGCATCAAGTGGTGGCTCGACAGAAGTCTGAGTCTATGGTTGTGGTCCGATAAAATTTTAGGCCTCAGATGGTGGTTCGGCGAAGTCTAGGACTCAGGTGGTGGTCCGGTATAACTCCGGGCGTCAGGTGGTGTCCTGGTGGAGCTCGGGGCTTTAAGTGGTGGTCTGGAGGAAGTCCAGGCCTCAAGTGGTGGCCTGGAGGAGCAATGGGCCTCAAGTGGTTGTCCGACGGAAGTCCGGGCCTCAAGTGGTGGTCCGACAGAATTCCGAGCATCAGGTGGTGGTCCGGCAGAAGTTCGGGACTCAGGCAGTGGTCTGCAAGAACTCCGGGCATCAGGTGGTGCCCTGGTGGAGCTCAAGGGCTCAAGTGATGGTCCGACAGAAGTCCGGGCTTCAGGTGGTGGCCTGGTGGAGCACAGGGCATCAAGTGATGCTCCGGCAGAAGTTTGGGCCTCAAGTGGTGGTCCGGCGGAGCAACGACATCAGGTGGTGATCCGGTGAAGGTGAGGGCTACAAGTGGTCATCCGGAGGAGCAACGACGTCAGGCGGTGGTCCAGCCTCAAGTGGTGGTCCGACGGAGGAATGACATCAGTCGGAGGTTTGGAGAAGCAACGACGTCAGGCGGTGGTCCAGCAGAAGTCTGGCGATGGTCGAGGAGGAGTGAGGAGGCAATTGTTATCTTTCTTCGACCCCCCATTCAAAGAGGGAAGAGGGGTTTATTTATAGATTTCTAGAGTGGCATGACCTGTAAATAGGTGATAGATCAAGGGAAAATAAGGAGCGGTTGGATGGACAGTAGATATTGAATCCCTTTATTGTGGACCATTTGATGAACATTTGGGTATGCCTTAGTGATGTTGGAACTCAGTTTTCTTGGGCTTGTGGATTAGTCTCGTCAAGCCGCTCGATTCGACTATAAGCACGTCATGTTTGGAAACTGTTTGGTAATCCAAATTGTGGTTCGAACCCTCCAATAGCGCTTCAGACCCTAGATTTGGATCCATTTGGACCTGGATTGTGTCAATTTTGGTGTTGTTGGGTTTGTATTTCCGAGACACTCAGTTCGACTATAAGTTTATTGAAATCGGAGTTCGGATGGTTCCAATTTTAATTTCAGAAGTTTCCAACTTGATTTTGCTTCAAGATTCGTGCACGATCAAGATAATTTTTTGATGACGTATCAATTATAATGCAAAGTCAAAGAGAGAAACTTTCATTTTGGAGATATCATATTTTGGAAAGTTAACACTAACAATTTATTCTTGGCAAGCTTAGATCCATTAAGTTTTAATCTCGATGAACTCATCATGAGAGAAATTCATTACAATTCAAAGAACTCTAAGTTAATAAATCTCTGCATACTTGGGGGAATTATTAATGAGTTTGATTTGTAAGTCCATTCTTAATTTTTTATTTGAATTCAATCAAATTTGAAGATATGGTAATGAAGTTGTTGATGAATTTTATCAAAATAAGAGGAACCAAATTTCTGAATACTTACTTAACTTGGTAAGAAAAAGGTTAACTAAATTTTTTAGGCGACTTATGAAGTTATTCCTCAAGGAAAGTAAAAAAGTATAAGACTATTCTATGTAAGCGAGCTACATCCCACATGTGGCTAGATAATCTATACTTGACAAAATAGCTCTCACTTAAACCTAGCATGCTTTTCATTAAAAAAAAAAGCAAATTTGATAATCTTAATAATAGTATCATATTCAATTATTACTTCGAGTTACAAAAAATTTGAATCACTTATGTCAAACAATTTATAATGTATGCACATTTTTTTTTTTTTTAATTTTGAGACTAGGATTTACTCTCCGCTCTTCTATCAAATCTTTGAATTATATATAATTATTTTCTTTTTGATGGTATCTACAAGTTTCAACATAATGTTTAGTCACTATAAGTTGATTAATGAATTTAATTTCTCAACACTCCATTGAACCATCATGCTAGATTTTAAAACTATTGAAGGACTGGATTTTGAAGGTTTGGAAGTTGCCACCTCCCCCTTGTGGTAAGATTATGAGAAAGAAGTTCATTCTAATGGTGAGACTTAAACATAGTTACTCCTATGAAGACAAAATCTCTTTTGAAAGATGAGGTCTATCTAATAAGGCAAAGACTTATTTTAAATTGATTTACTAAGTATAAAAGATCTAGTCTTGGGATGACTTCTTGGGATCGATATTCTATCTTGTACACAATGAAAAATTTTCTAGGTTATTATTAGAAAAGAAATTGACGGTATATAGTTATATTCACAAAAAACATCACACAACAAAGCTAAGGAAACTTATATTTTATTTCACAAAATAACAATTACAAGTCACCTATAGGGTTTAGCTTGCAAAACTTATATTAAATAATTTTAAAAAAAGGAGAAGCCAAAAAATACATTATTACTCCCCAACTCATCCTCCTCCTCCTCATCATCTTAAGAATGCTTTTCAATATGAATCCATTCTCGTGTTAAGGCATCTTCTCTTAACAAAGTCATTAATGTTGGTTTTTTTTTTTGTGTACTTATCTAGGACTGAGTCAAAATAATTTTGAAACTTTATGAATTTGTTGATCAAGTTCACCTCGTCTAGACCTTGGGCCAACTTGATCTCAAACTCAACACTCAACTTTATACTTATTAATCAAAACTTTAGTCTCTAACAATCAGTCATTGTAGTTCTTGAACTAATAAGCAAGATTCTTGTTGCATAACTAAGCCTATATAAGGGATGATTCAAAGTTATAATACGTGTTACTCTGGTGCTCCAAATTAATTCATATCATTTTTATTTAAACAATACTGAAGATTTCTTAAATCTTTGATTTCACACTTGTATATGATTTATATAGTCTTCTATGAATTGTGTATTTGATTGGTATTAATTACTAAGGAAGCTCCCTAAGTTATTGCATTCTTCAAAGTAATTGAAGCTTCACTAGAGGTATACTGTGGTTGGACAAATGGCTAATTCTCCTTGTTATCTCTACTAAAATTTGATCGTTGCTTAGAAGCACACTTCTCCATTGAATGCCAACTTCTAAAATAATGATGTCCTTGATTTTTGAAATCAATGTGTTGGCCCTCATGCTCACATCAATTTCAATAAGGATAATAGTACTTTTCCCTTATGTTAGCCCTTCTGTCAACTTGGAACTCAAACCATGAATAACTTTCTTTATACCTACTTCTATAGAATAAGTCATCAATCAAATAGAGGTTAACGGTGCCACTATAACAAAAGTAGGTGTTATCACAGCTTAAGGAGTAACCCTCTTAGTGTATTCCTCTGCCATGACTCTAAGTATAATTTTTTTCCTCGTCATCTGGTTCTTACCCTTAAAGCCAAGATTTCATTCCCTGTCAACATCATCAAGCATCTTCTACTATGCCTACGTTGATGCTATCATGCACATTGTTGACTTCATGAAGAAATATTTATTCTTTCACCCTTTTACTTTTCTCTCTAATCGTCCATGCTGCTGTACGTGGAGGAGAAGAGAATCATACCCTTTGTATCACGCTTCACATTGAACATATTCCTAAAGAGACTTAATGTTTGTTTAATCATTTTATCGTCAAGAAAGAAGATGAAGGAAATGATGCATGCCAAGGAAATTAGGAGTCTCATACGGAATTCCTCACTGAAACATAATTCTTGTAGAAAGAGCTTTACATTCTTCTTCTTAAAGGAAGAAGTTAACATCCATTTTGATTTGGGAAAACATTCCGGGTTGTTTATCATTAAGAACTATCACTGTAGTAGGAGCTTTGGAGGAGAATAATGAAGCAAGAAGAAGAAGATTGAGCTCAAAGAAGCTTAGGTGATGCGGAACATCTTTGGGCAAGGGAGTATCTTGTCGTTTATGTTATGCTTTTTTTTTTTAATAATTTTTTTTATTTAAATTTTAAATAACTTATTTTTAAATATTAAAAAATATTTGTAATTTAATTTCAAATTTGAAATGCATGCTTAATTTTAAATTAAAAAATTCCAAACAAACATTCCATGAAGTTTCATCTCTTTACATATGGTTTATGTTATGCTTTTAGCCATATTATTGCTTTACTAGTTCGCTTTCCACTACTTCATTTCCTATTTTAGTTATCTACTGGTAGGTTAGGCTTTTACTAGCAATACTACTTATAGTCTCCTAGATATTAGAAAATAGATATATACTTCTATTACGTGAAGGAGCACATATAGGGAATAAATATAGCTCAGCTATCTGCTATCTTGTGTTGTTTTAGTTTCTATTCCATTCATTTGCTGGCTGGACGTCTCCTCTCTGATTACCTATATCAGTTTTGATATCAGAGCCTGGTGCATCAAGGAATGGCGGAAGGAAGTCAACAGGAGGCTGGCGAAAAAATTTCGTGGTCTTGATGCGTTATGGGAAGCCATCAACAGCCTTAATCGACAAATGGATGAGGTCACCTCTGACTTATTTCGGCTCTCAGTGGATATGCATAGGGAATTTCAAGCCCTCAGGATGGAGGCGGGAGTAAATCATGTTAATCGTTTACAACCACAGGGAGCTGGCCGGCGTGACCAAAAACCAGACCAGGAGCGTAGTTGTGCTCCTATCGTATCGAAGTCACAGATTCGGAGGAGGAAGGCATGGGACAGTTCAATGCCAATCTGCCTTCCGACTCAGAAGGTGAAACTGTACAAGTGCAGTTCAATCATAGATGCGGGGGTGCAACATTTGGCCGCCCTCAAGGAGAATTTCGGGTAAAGTTTGATATTCCATTTTTTTATGGTAGATTGCATATCGAGGATTACCTCGATTGGGAGAGGTCTGTAGAGACATTTTTTAAATACATGGAAATTGAGCTGGAGAAACAAGTGAAGTATGTAGCTTGTAGATTGAAAGGTGGAGCAAGCGCTTGGTGGTTGCAACTATTGCAATCTCGCCGGAGGGAAGGATGCGATCTCATTCGCAGTTGGTGGCAGATGAAGCAACTTCTCCACTCGCATTTCCTTTCCACAGACTATGAACAAACATTGTACGTCAAGTATCAACATTGCAATCAGGAAAATTGGACTATGAGTGAATACACTGAGGAATTCTATCGCCTCAATGCACGGAATGATCTTAACAAGAATATCAACCAGATTGTTTTTAGATATATCAGGGGACTTAAAGATGCCATCCAAGATAAATTGGAACTGAATGTGGTATGGTCTTTGTTGCAAGCAGTTAACTTCATGTTAAAGGCTGAAATCTAGTTGACAAGGGGATACAAGAAACACTCATCCAGAAAGCCATATGTTGATTACAATGTTGAAGGGGCCAAACCTACTGTTTCGGCTGGCAGAATTCCTGCAAGTGTTCCAAACACCAGCAACTCTTCACAGCCTACAACATCCATGGGTTCTCTAATGGACCTGAAGCTGCAATCCATATTGAAAGCTTCCATGTGAGAGAAGCCATATGCTATGTCACGACCCGACCCGATCCGGGACGGACCCAGCTCGCACCGGGCCGCGACAAAAACTTTTTATCCAGGATCTGGCTTTGGAATTTGGTTCTGAAATCACCTGGAGCAAAACTGGGCACATTCTGGAGCAAAATTTCCACTGATCGTCCCAGGACGATCCAGATCGTCCTGGACGATCCTGGAGCAGATTTTTGATATTACATGCTAGGCCCTCCATAATAGAGTGTTCTCGAAGTTTTGAAGTGGGACACAAATCTAATGACTGTCCTAATCGGCCACAGTTGTAGCTCACCATAGTTGAGGGCAAAGAGGCACAAGGCAAAGCAAAAGAACATGATCAAGAAGTGGAGGAAGTTACACCGGATGTTGGCTATCCACTGATTTGTGTAATGGAAAAGATGTTATTAGCACCTCAGCAACAAACAATGTCCCAAAGAAATACCATTTTTAAAACTAGATGTACTATCAACAGTAAGATGTGTGATCTACTAGTGGATAGTGGGTGCACCAAAATGTCATTGCCCGATCCGTTGTGCAAGCATTACACTAAAGACCACTAAGTGTCCCAACCCTTACAAAATCAGTTGGGCAAAGAAAGGAATGGAAATCATGGTGTCTGAACTGTGCCGGATAACATTCTCTATCGAAAAATAGTATGTTTGTGAGGTGCTTTGCGACGTCCTTGATATGAATGTTTGCCACATAATTTTGGGGTAACCGTGGCAATTTAACGTAGGAGCTATTTAAGATGGAAGATCAACTCTTTTGATTGGAAAGGAAGACGCCTCAAATTGCTACTAGATCCCACTGAGAACGTGGGGCTAGCTAATAGCAAAGCTGTTGTGATGCATTTGGTGTCCGGATCAGATCTTATTCAGTCTAGTCATGAGACTTCGGTGCTATTGGCATTGGTCGTTAAGGAGTAGAGTCCTTCCAAATCTCACAGCAACGTCCCACCAGAAGTGCAACAGCTACTACACCAATTAATTTGAAGAAATTAGTCTACGTACTCTACCTGCATCATTACCACCTCTAAGAACTCTTCAACATCATATTAATTTTGTATCAGGAGCAACCCTCCTGAATCTTCCTCACTATCGATTGAGTCCCAAAGACCATGCTACACTTCAGAACTCGTGGATGACTTGTTAAAGAAACAATTGACATTGTCTAGCCTGAGTTCGTGTGCAATCCCCACACTCCTAGTGCCCAAGAAGGAGGGGTCATGGCGAATGTGTATGAATAGCAAGGCAATCAATAAGATTACAATTAACTTCAAATTTCCTGTTCCGAGAATTGATGAGTTACTGGAGAAATTATTCGGAGCAGCCATCTTCTCTAAGCTTGATTTGCGAATCGGCTACCACTAGATTCTTCTTCGAATCGACAACAAATGGAAAACTGCTTTCAAGACTCATCAAGGGCTATACGAGTGGAGGGTTATGCCCTTTGGGTTGTGTAATTCTCCATCTACTTTTATGAGGCTTATGAATGAAATTTTGAAGCTATGCTTGAACAAATTATGTGTTGTATATTTCAACGACATCTTGGTTTTCAGACCCTCACTGACGGAGCACCATCAACACTTACAGCGAATTTTTGAAATTTTGCAAGCCAATTAATTATTTTTGAACTTGCCCAAATGTGAATTCGCCAGATACTGTTTATTTTTTGGGTTTCATTATATCTGCAGATGGTGTGCGGGTAGACCATCAAAAGGTTAAATCCATTTCAGAATGGCCGACGCCTCAATCATTTTTTGATGTGCGAAGTTTCCATGTATTGGCAAATTTCTATCGATGCTTTATATAAGGTTTCAATATACTAGTTTCCCCACTCACTGATTTTTGAATTCCAAATAATTCTCTTGGTTAGATGCTCAACAATCGAGCGTTGAAGCTGTTAAGGCTGCCCTCTCTTCTGCTTCGGTTCTTGCGCTTCCAGATTTCGAAAAGCCTTTATTATTGAAAAGATGCTTTGGCCACAGGTATTGGCGCCAACTTGATGAAGGAAAACAAGCCAATTGAATATTTTAGTGAAAAACTTTATCCTGCTCGCCAAAAATGGAGTGTCATGAACAAGAGATTTACTTCATTGTGCATGCTCTCAAAGAATGGGAACACTATCTTCTGCATCAAGATTTTATATTGCACAACGACCACACGGCTTTATAGTATATTAACAATCAGAAAATGCTGAATCGCATGCATGCTTGATGGATTTTATTTTTACAAAGTTTCACTTTTGTCCTCAAAAACAATTCTGGTTCGGAAAATAGAGTTGTCGATGCTTTGAGCAGAAAATGAACTCTATTGTCTCAGTTGAATACCGAATTGACAGGGCTCCAATGCCTTCAGGAGTTATATGAAACTGACAACGATTTCAACCAAATTTTGGATGGGTGCTTGAAGCAGACAATTATGGGGCAATACTTCATAAGACATGGTTATTTATTCAAACAGCATGCTATGTGCATACCGGATTCGTCCTGGCGACACCAAATTATTCAAGAAATCCATTTTGGAGGCCTTGTAGCTCACGTCGGACGTGGGAAGACCATCGAGCAATTGCAATCTCGTTTCTTTTTGCCACATTTGCGTCGCGACATCACCCAATTTTTCGAGTGCTGTCAGTATGCTAAGTCTATAAAGGTGGTAAACATAACACCAGATTGTACATGTCATTATCGGTTTCAAACACAATATGGGAATATCTTAGTCTTGATTTTTTTCTTTAGACTTCCTAGAACAAAGCGAGGTAATGACTCTATTATGGTTGTAGTAGACAGATTCTTGAAGATGGCACATTTCATTGCTTGCAAAAAATCTTTGATGCTCTTAATATTTCCCGCTTGTTCTTTAATGTAATAGTCTGCCTACATGGCATTCCGCGCAGTTTGACTTCGGACAAGGATGTTAAATTTATTAGTCATTTTTGACATGAACTCTGGAAAAGACTTAAAACTTATGTCAATCTAAGTTCAGCTAATCACCCTCAATTGGATGGACAAATCGAGGTGGTAAACTGTACTCTGGGAAATATGCTAAGGTGCTTAGTACGTACAAGAGCAACCTAAACGATGGGTTGAGTTGTTGAACCAAGCTGAGTTCGCATATAATAACATGTCGAATCGTTCAACCTGTACTTCTCCATTTCATATTATTTATACTAAGGTGCCTAATCATACGGTCGAAGTCGCTATTTTACCAAAATGTAGCAATCGAAATGCAGCACAATTGGTTGACCAATTTTCTCAGATGCTCCATGACATCCGCATCAAACTTCTCAATTCTAATGAGAATTATAAAATGGCAGCTGACTCCCATTGGTGGGAGAAAATTTTTAAACCCGGTGGGCTAGTCATGGTACGCCTTCACCGTGAAAGGTTACCTTCTGGTGTATATTCTAAATTGGGTCGTCGCAAAGTTGACATTTTCCCATCTTGAAAAAATCAACGACAACGCCTACATTATAGATCTACCATATAAATTTAGCACAGCTTCTACTTTCAACGTAGCAGATCTTCACCCATATTATCCAACAGATGAAGCACGAACAAACATTTCTACTGAGATAGCAGAATCTTCTTCGGCGGGGGAGTCCTGATGCGGAACATCTTTGGCCAAGGGAGTATCTTACCATTTCTATTATGCTTTTAGCCATATTATTGCTTCACTAGTTGTCTTTCCACTACTTCATTTCCTGTTTTAATTATCTACTAGTAGGTTTGGCTTTTACTAGCAATACTAATAGTCTCCTAGATATTATAAAACTGATATATACTTGTATTACGTGAAGGAGCACATATAGAGAAGAAATATACCTCAGTTATCTGCTATTTGTGTTGTTTTAGTTTCAATTCCAATCGTTTGCTGGCTGGACGTCTCCTCTCCGATTACCTACATCATTAGGGAGAAGCATTAAAAAAAAAAGACAAACTAAAGGTCCAAGATTACCAAGAAAGTGTATGTTGATATAGAATGGAGAGGAGCACTATTTATAAGAAAGAGCGTGGAAGATCTGAAACATTGAACTCCCAAGTGATATCATTTCACTTAAAATGTCATCACAATCATTGATGTGACTACCAAATACTAAGCTAATTTTATAATTTCCTATTCATTCAGAAACCCAACTGACACATCACCAGCTTTAACTTAATCAAACGTTGATGTCATGATAAAAATTTTTACTTCATATGGTCAGATGAATTCACACTGAATTGAATAACGAATATGATTTCAGGATAAAAGTGCTACTTCCAACTTCATAACAAAGGTCTTCAAGGTAGAGAACTGATTTCAAATAATGACAAGATAAAGAAATAGCTTCACAAAAAAAAGAAGATTTATTACAGAAAAATAGAAATAATTAAGATCTAAACTCAATATTGTAAGCTCATCCAATTTCTTAAGAAATGAGCTTTCATTTCATTTAAAGTATATTACATTAAGCAAATAAAAGTAGAACCCTTATATCCATAACTTTTTCCTACAATTCTATTTTTTATGAGATATATCAAAGCAAAAAAGAAAAAAAAAATAGAAAATCATTTCCTGAAAAAATAAATTGTTGGAGCTGTAGGTTTTAACTCTTCATACAATAACATTGAAAGCTCTTTTATGAGATCGTGCATGCAACTTGCTGGTTGAGTGAAGCTTTTCCTCTCACACAGCTCATTTTTGAATCCCCTAATTGTCCCAAAAAAACAAAAAATATAGAAAGCTAATCCTAGTATGCAACAAAAAGCACACTTCAAGAGTGACTCGCTAAGGAAATTGTTACTCTAAATTATTAATTTGATGTATGATAAACTTAAAAAATCCTCGAGAACTTTCTCATTGGGATGAGTTTTCCCCCAACTTGCCATCTTTTTTATGAAGACTATTGGGTAAATCAATCAAGGAAGTTATAATCCTTCCTTTTTTTATGAATTTAGGTTTTGTTTGGGATGACTTTCCTACTTCGTCTTAAGGATATTTTTTAATATAAAAATTAAAATTTTTGTACTAAAAAGCTGATTTAAGAACTAGTAAGAAAACCGTCCCAAACAAAACCTTAACTTGATTTCTTATAGAGAAAATCCCTTAAAGAGAATCCCCAACACACTCTCTCTCTTCTTTTATGCTCTTTGTAAACTCAATACATATTTCTATAATATCTTTAATATGTAATTTTGTTTTTAATCCTACCCTTTCGGTGATCTCTATTTTCCTTATGACAAATGCAGACGAACGTGGACCAACAAATTCGAATTTTTTTATGGTGAAATAATTAACTGAAATCTCAGTTGGGAATTATTTTGAAGCCACTCAAGTTTGTAATACTTAAATATAAATCTTTGGTTGACATACAATCATGAAATGGAGGGTCAGCTGCTTTAATAATTTCGATTTACTGTAGACCTGTCATGCGCTGGTAAAAAAAATTTCAGAGTAGACTGATTGATGCCACACTTAGAAAGCTCAGCTATATGATTTGATGTGTTTGAAAAATAAGTTTGTTGGTGTCTAAATAAATTCAATGTATTTTAAGGAAATTGTATTTGATTCATTGTAAATTTATCTTTGAATTGTTGTAAAGTAAATCAATTTTTATTATTTTTTGTCCTAATCTTTTGTCTAGAGAAAAACAATAAGATTGCAATTCGGGGCTTATCGACATTACCAGATGTAGTCAATTTGAATTGCGCTTGTGAGGTCTTGCTTCGCCAGCGGTGTTGCATTTTGAAGGTTGGAATTTTGTGGTTTTTGAAAAAACTTTTGATTTACTTTTTCCCTGACCAACAACAACAACAATAACAATATCAAGTCTTTGTCCCACTATAAGGGATCGACTACATGAATGATTTTTCTCTATTGTGTCATGTTAAAAGTCAAATTCTTATTTAAATCTAATAAAAATGAATCATTTCTAATATTTTCTAACCCAGTCTTTTTAGGTGTACATCTACTTTTTTTAACATAAGTCATATTCTAATACCTCTACTTTCCTAACCGGGTCATCAGAAGGCCGCCGTTTTATGTGACCAAACCATCTAGAGCGACTCTCTTTAATCTTATATTCCATTGGCTCTACTCCAACCTTTTCACATATTTATATATGCTCATTTCGTATCCTATCTCTAATGGTAAAGCCACTCATCCACCTGAGCATCATCATCTCTGCAACACTTAACTTAGTATTATGTTTCTCTTTAATTTAATGGCCAACACTTTTCTCCTAACCAAAAAAAAAAAAAACTTAAAAGCCCTATAAAATTAAGTAAATGCATGCAACATGCAAAATATGATCAATTTGAGAAGGGATATGTAGCCCAATCTTTACAGAAAACACCTGTTTTTTTAAAGATTGAGAGTTCATTTCAGCAAAACTGGCATGCACACCAGTTTTGTAGAGATAAGAAAATTATTCCAACTTTAATAGCAGATAAGCATTCTCTCTTCTCTATTACTATTTTCTCCAACTTAGACCTCCACTTGTAATATTTTAGTTGCTTCATGTCTCCAAAATCAAGCATGTTGTAATTTTAAAAATTTGCTTTATTTGTAATGAAACTATACGTGTAATAATATATTGTTGTGCAGCACACTCTACAAACGTCAGTTTGATTTTCTGTCTTTTGCTGTAGCAGTTTCAATTATTTCATTTTCAAATCAAAACATCAAAACCTAAATTACATATTTGCTAAATATAAACTAAAAGTGTAAAAACTGTACTCAAGGTTTTGTTTGGAATGACTTTCTTACTGCTTCTTAAAATCATTTTTTATAGTAAAAAAGTCGTCTCAAATGAAGCATAAATGTTTCTTTTTTATGGAGCTTGCAGAGCGAATGAAATGGTGAATGCATGCTAGGCGTGGGAGCACTTGCGAGCACTAACAAAAGTGCAGATTTCTTTCCCCCCGACGTGATAGCTACATTGGACTTGCACGAAGGAAATGCATATTTATTCCTCGCTCCTCATATTTCTATTTAATGGGCAGAGATTGCATCACATTACCTCACACTTGCTTGCACTCAGAGGTACACTATCTGTTTGTAATTTAGTTTATGTCTAAGTAAGCTTAGCTTCGAAGTTTCCTAGTTGAGTGGAGGATATAACTTTGAAGAAACATTAGATTATCTCTATTTCCAATGAAAATTAGACATTAAAGCTCTTCACATTGCCTCAATGTCCCATCACAAAAATGGAAGGGAGATTTTGCATATTTACCACATACTTTTTACATATTTATGTGACTAACATCTTAGCATTGATGTTTATTTAAGCTTCCTTTGAGATAGCTTTCTTATTTTTTTTTTTATTTTTTATACTGCAATCATTATTTTTGTTTGGATACTGCTTTTTCAGTACTACTTTTAAGAAATATGTGTGCTTGAAAGCTACTTTTTAGTTTTTACAACAACTTTAAAAAAGTTATTTTTCTCGTAATAGCTTTATAACCACATTTATTAAAATTACGATTGCCCCAAACGAACCGTTAATATCGAACTTTAACGATGTCAATCTCATATAATATAAAGTATATGAAATGAGTTTATGTTGTTGCGTTGTTAGATAAATACGCCCGGCGAGAGTTTTATAACCTGGTTGGCGTGTGCCTGAGCGTTGCACGTTAGTTTAACACACAAACAGAAAGAGGAGTGAACACCAAGAGTTTTTACGTGGAAAACCCAAAAGGGAAAAAACCACGGGTTGGGTGGGGTGGGGGGGGCCGTCGCCCATTACAGTAATTTCCGGACTGTGTGTTCTCAGGATATTACAAATGGCGGATTTCGTCCCACAAGTGGGACAATCCAAATACAATTGTCTCTTCACGAAATTAGCTATAAATGTCGTGCGAATTCCCTGCGTTTCCGGAAAATCCGCAGAGTTCCCGGCGTTTAGCGTGTGGCTTAGGAAATAAACGTCACGCGGCGGGGTGGTCGAGGAGAATGGTGTGAATCTCACTATTCCCCTTTCTCCTTCTATTCTTCTTCTCTCTCTTCACTTGAGTCCTCTTGTGTAGAATGAGGGCTGCTATTTATTAGTTTGCGTGAGTGGCATAGCCCGTAAATAGGCGTGATGATCGTTAAGGGCGAAACAGGCGAGTGGTGTTGATTTGTGGTTCACGGTGAGTTCGATCCTTTGATCATGTACCGTTCGTTGGACATTTGCTAAGGCCCTTAAGTATGATCGGGGATGCGATGATGCTGGAGGGCCGGGATTCCTTCTCGTTGAAGCCGTTCGATTCGAGGTAATAAGGCTCGTCAAAATCTGAGATCCGTTGGTAACTCAAAATTGCGGTTTGAACCTTCCAACATCGCTAGCCCTGTGTGCATTGGACCGAGTTGGGCTCGAATTGAGTTGATCTTGGTGTCGTGGGTTCGTACTTCGATGGACTGCTCAGTGTGGATATTAAGCTCGGCGTGAATGGGTTCATATGCTCCCTAGAATTAATTAAGATTGGTCGTAGAGTTTCCAATTGATTTGATCATCGAAGATTTCAGTGCCGATCAAGATAATTTTTGGAGATGTTCAATGTAATATATTAAATTTGATGAGTGTAATAGTGATTAATATAATAATATAAATGATTTATCATATTAATAAGTTTTATAAATACAATAATAAATTATACGCGTGTTACTACTGTATCATTTTTCACAGTTGAGTAGTTATATAGATAAGCATACACTGATAATTATACAACATTTTTCTAATTTAAATGTTAATGCAACACACTATTGAAATAAGATAATAGTAAACATCTACAATATTTCCCAAATTAATATTGGAATATAGGACTTGAAAAAATCCTGTATAGTTCTTTCAATTGCGCTGCATTGGCAAATATATTAATATATGATGAATCGAAGTATAAAGAAGCAATGATAAAAAAGGGGTAAACCCGGACCAACATAGCAATTGATTTGCCTCATTATCCTAAATGGTAAAGACAAGTGCAATTGTGATACTTCACTTGGTCTTAAGTGCTTTAATGATTAATTTAAGAAATATATTTTCTATTTGATATAAGAGACCCACAAACCCTAAATAAGCATGAAGGTTGTGGAGTACTGATTCAACTTGTATAGTAAATAATGGTGGTTATGGTTATGTGAGAAGGCACATAGACCTAACTTTAACGGGCGTGTTGGCATGGTTGCAATACCGGGGGCAACAATATGGCAACGGTTGTGAGAGCTGTCTAAAATATACTGTAGTTCGAGAAGTTGCTCTCTCAATGCTTTTGAGGAGGAGCCTAAGTGGAAGTAGAAAGTGACTGTTCGCCTGGATAGTTAGAGGACAATGACCAACACAATTGATGCTTGCTTGTCTCCCATAGGGCTTTGGTCAGTGCTATTAAGAAGCTTTGCGAAGCCTTGGTAGTCTCACGAAATATTAGTTGTATGTAATGTTCAAATTTTCTATCCTACGTTTGTGACTATGATCTAGAATTATTCCTTTTGTTCAATGTTCTAGGAAATAAAACTATGATATGCTTTTCTTATACTTAAATTTTCGGAATGTAATTATTATTTTATGAAATACTTGTTTATTATAATTACTTTCATATTTGATTTTAGAGAAGAAGCTCTAGTGCAGTGTCGAGCTTAGAAAATAGGTTGGATTGTAGATGTTATTTATTATGTGTATAACTCTAATATCCTGATGAACTGTATTTATAAATCCACGTGGGAGAAGGTATATGCATTCCGACTACTTAAGCCAAACATCAACTATATGATAAATAAGTTTTTTCTTTTTTATGAGTCAAATCTATAGCAAAGCTTTGTCACAAATCAAGTTTTAGCGAAATTATCTACGACGACCCTAAAATTGTCTCAGTGCTGCAATAACTATTTGT